CCAGACTGACACACAGGCAAAGGAGGATAAGTCTTGGGTGCAGGGAACTCCTGAAGGAGCCCAGAGCCCGTGTATCTGGATGAACAGGTGTAGTGCCAAAGCCACAAAACCAACCATCGCCCGACACCAAGGTGGCACACTCATCTCTAAGAGCCTGAAGCTCACACTCCCAGCAGGTGCATTATTGTCACCTGTAAGCTTCAGGCAGAGCAGCCAGCCGTTCTTTCCAACAACTTGGGAGATGGCGGTTGCCAAGGAAACCGGAGAACTAAGCTTCCCCACCCAGGTCTGAGAGATTTCAGCCACCACCGTGGAAACAGAGCAGCCTGCAGGTGCGCTAACTGGCAGGTCAATCTTTATGAGCCTGGAGCCCGGGTCAAGGGTTCCTTCTAATACATTCTGAGAAAGAGAAACAATGTATCTTTCCTCCCACTCAAAGACAGGAAGTCAAGAGAGTTTCTCCTGATGCCGAAGTGCATGGCGTGTAACAAGCCGGGTAATAGAGCCGGTGAACTTCGTAAACGAGCAAGAAGCATCAAGGACGAGTAGAACAGCCCCTGTGGGTTTCCCAGACTCAGTCTTTACCTGAGTGAAGACAGCCGTGCCATGAACCATAGTGGGACACGTTCATCAGCCTCGAAAGAAACGCTGTATTTTCAATCACTTGTCACCTCTCATCGTTGCTTCTCCCCCTTCACCCCTTGGCAAACCACGAATCTACTTTCTGCTCCGTGGATCTGCCGAATCTGGACATTCCACACAGATGGGGTCAGACACTCGGTGGTCTTTGGGGCTTGACCTCACCTCCTTAGCAGGGGGTTTCTGTTCCCTGTTCACTGTACCCTGTGTGAGCACTCATTCATTTTTACGGTCTAGTGAACGCTGGGAAACATCTTAAGGAGCTCTAAAAGATACCATTATCTAAAAAATAGGAATGGTTGTATTTCTTTTTTCCCCAATCGGTATCCCCCGTCCTCCACTATTGCATTGGCTGGGACTCCTATTATAATGCTGGTCAGAGCTGTGAGAACAGAAAGCCCAGGTTTGATGCTGATCTTAGAGGACAGGCGTCCTGTGGGTCTTTCAGACCAGGGGCCTCCGTGATCACCTCTCTCTGATCACCTGTCTGTGAGTGCTCCCCACCCCTCCATGGCATGTTGAGGGATACTTTTTCAATCGTGATAGAATTTATATCGTCAGGTGTGATCTGTGTCCCACAAAGGGGTCTCTTGGCATTTCCGAGGTGTTTGTGGGCATTCTGAGTTCCATTTCCTTTTGTTAACTTTTTCCGCAGTGTGCTTATGTTTTCCAGCGGACTTTGATATTTTTACTTTTCAGCCTTGATTCCCAGCAGCTTTGTTATGGTGTGTGTGTGTGTGTGTGTGTGTGTGTTCTGCTTTGGGTTAGTTATATTTCCTGGATCATTATATTTGGATATTTTTCTGCCATTATTTCTTCAACCATATTTTCTGCCCCTCCTAACTATCTGCGATCCCAGGGGCTTGTATCTAAGGTAATAAAGGCTCTGTGCTCCCCGCCCCCCACCCCCACCAGCCCTTTCTCTGTGTGCTTTAGTTTGAATGATTTCTAAGTGCTATGTCTTCCAGTTCACTACCTTATCTTATGGAGTCTCTACTCTCTGCCAGTGGACCCACCCGGTCCATTGTTCATTTCATCTACTCTATGAATATGGCTTCGCCCTAGAAATTGTATCTGATTTCCCTTTTGTGCCTTATACGTTCATATTGTCTCTGAGGTCTTCAAGCCACTGCTGTGTACGTGTGTGCTAATTCCCTCCCGGCTCCTCCCCCTTCTGGGTCTGCTGTGTTGACTGATTTAGACTGGTGATGGGTCAGGTTTTGAATATCTAGCCCCCCCCCCCCAACACCAGACACCGTGACGGTCAAGTGTTGTGTGTCTGGACATCCTTCTTCCCCCCATAACCATATCTTATGAAGCTGGCCGTTGAATTAATCATGGTTTATAGATGCATTAATTTTGCACCAGGACTGAAAATAGAGGTGACCTTCAAGAATTCTTGGTGTTTGCTTCTGAAAACGGAATAGGGTTTGGAAAGGCGGAGGCCTGGAGCGCTGTCTCTGTTCCCTGGAAGACGACGGGGCTCCAGGGGAGAAGGCTTTGCCTGGGAGCGGTAGGCGGCAAGCTGGGTAGGCGGCAAGGTGGGGAGTTCCCACTTCTCCAGATGCGGCTTCTACGGGCACAGAAGCCGCCGACAGCTGCCAGTGCAACCAGACCACGGGTGGTTGTGGGGGTTGGAGGAGGTGAACGGAGGGTGTCTTGCACCGTGTAAGACCCTGGGTGATGGGTGTGTGTGAGAGTCGGAGTTTCCAGAATGCCCGAGGTCGGATTTCCCGCTAGTGTTGCTGTCAGAATGGACGTCAAATGGACTCAGAGGTGATAGAGGGGTGGACTGGCTCCCGTACACCTACCTGGTGTCGAGACCTGAGATTTGCGTTTGCTGCGCTCCTGACAGGAGCTCACTGAAGCCAACAACGTTGTACAACTTTCATACCAGCAAGCTGCGATGCTGAGTGGGAGGACATCCATGGGCTGAAGAGAATTACTTTACGCAAAGAAATTGGCCCCTCTCCTTGGTCCCTGGGAAGTGACCTTGGACCCATGGAATCACATTTGCGCCCTTTGTGGTCTAGACCATCCCAGACGGGCTGTGCCACTGAGGAGACTCGGGGTGGGGCTATCCACCTAACATTAGCCTGACCTCTGGGAGGGAGGCGTACTGGACCTAGAGTCCACCAATCCTGTCCAGATAAAGAAACTCCTGCAAGAGTCCTGGGCATGGAAGCTTGGGTGAGCATCCCGGTTGGCGATCGAGATGATGCGCAGGAGGAGAGCATGATCTTGGGGACCCAGGTGTCACCCTCTGCAAGTCCCCTTTATGCTGGTTCTGAACGGGACCCTTTATAATAAGACTGCAGGACAAAGAGCTGGTTGACCTTGTTTCTCGAGGTTCTGAAAACAGCCCTTGGGGTCTGGGAGCAACCAAGGAACCTTCATTTTATAAACTCGCCTGGTGACGCTTTTGCGCATCAATGAGTGGGGCCACACTGATGACTGTTCTCAGGGTGGAAAGGGGGCATGGTGCAGCCCCCCATGCTCCTTTATCAATGGGCGCCCATGTACTGGTCCCCAATGCCTAAGGAACACTGGGTCCTAGAGCTCTTTGGGGAGGGGCTTCTGGGGTTGGTGCAACGTCCAGACCTAGGAGACGGGATGGCAGGGCTTGGGAATGCTAGACATCTCAGTGCTTGCCTGACACATCTCTACCCTGGTAGCCTCTCTGGCTGGGGTAAAGGGTGTTGCTCTTGGGAAACCCTGAGTTGGGTCTGACACACAGTGACCATCTGTCCAACTGAAGGAAACACTGCCTGGTCCTGCACTATCCTGGTATAAGTCATCGCCTTTGAAAATCCTGTGAGCCATTCTGGAAGGTTTTCAAACCCGGTGGGGGGACAGTGAGAGCCAGCAGAAAGCCGGATGTTTGCCGCCTTGGCAGGAGCTTGGAGCCCTGGTGGCACCATGGTTAAGTGCTGGGCAGACAACGGAGAAGTTGACATTCTTACCCACCAGCCGCTCTGTGGGTGAAAGACGTGGCAGTCGGCCTTGGCCATGAGGCTGCGGCCCTGGCAAGTCAAAGGGGCCCGTTCTACTCTGCCCTCCTGGATCTCTGAGTCTGTTTGTTTTCTTGTGGAGAGGACAAGTTTATGGAGACTCAACCACAGGCGTGCAGGATCGGAAAGAGAAACTCCCCCCCCCCCACCCCCCGGGGTCTGGTGTCTGGGTGGGGGATTGGACAAGTGGGAACAGGAGCTGCCGTCCCATGGAGGAAGTGAGCTCTGACCTCCGTTAGGATGAGCCCAGGACACTGAGCTCCTTTCTCATGCTGAGGGATGTTCCTGCAAATTGACAAATCTGGGGCTGTCGCGGGACCCCTCACATTGTATCCTAGGGACCCGCAAACCTGGCACTGGCGCCCAAAGCATGTCCAGACCAGGTAACCGGTGCCCTTTAACCTGTGAGGTCCAACCTGAGTAGGGCGCAGGAGCAGAGGAATGGAAAGGCTTAGTGCGGAAACAAGATGGAACCGATTTTAGAACATCCTGCTTTTAAAAACCGGGGTGGGGGGGTGAGGGGCAGCCCCGGTGGCGTAGAGGATACTCCTTGGGCTGCTAATGGCAAGGTCAGCAGTTCAAAAGCACCAGCTCTCTTTGGAAGAAAGATGGGGCTTTCTGTTCCTGCAAAGAGGTGGAGACTTGGAAACTCACGAGGGCGGTTTTACCCTACAACGCCCCCCCCCCGACACCCCCCCCTCGCACACGACCACGATGAGTCGAGGGGTGCAAATGAGTTCTCAGGAAAATGTTTCGATGCTGCCGGTTGCTGCTGCCAGGTGGATTCCGACTCAGAGCCAACATGGCTCGGCCCTGCGCGGTTCCTGCAGTCACGGCTACGTGTGAGCGCCTGGTCGAAGCCACGGAGTCCATCCATCTCACTGAGGCTCTGCCTCTTTCACTGACCCCTCTCCTTTACCAAAGTCCTTCTCTAGGGACCGGAGCTTTTGAAAACCCTGGTGAGTGTTCAAAAATAGAAAGCTTCCGGGTGGCCCTTTTCCCGGCCATCAAAATAGGATTGTTAAGCCCCGGGGAAAACCCCTTCAGCTTCCAACAATCGGTAGCAACGTCTAAATGGCGGTGAAACGTAAGGTTTTTAATGGCGTATTTCAGTCTGAAGGGATGACCCAGAATTCTTACAGACACAAGAAGAGGCAACAATACCTTGGAAGGCAAATGAAGGCAAGGGGTCTAGGGACTTCACCCAGGAGAGTGACTTCATCAATATTTCACCGAGAGCTGGCTGGCCAAAGTCACGGAAATGTGGGTCCAGGGGCGGGCTTACCCGGTGCCTCTGGCAAGGAGGTTAGCCCAAGGTGGACGAGGGTCCAAAATCCACTCACGGACCCGTTACATGGGGTCGAAGTCGCTGCTCATCCTTGCCTTGGCCTTTGTGGTGTCGTAAGCCCGGACGACGTCCTCCTGTGTGATCAGAGCCTGTTCTGTCTGGGAGAATGCGTACCCATCTGCAGGAGGCAAGCACAGACGAGTCAGGGAAGGGGCCGCATCCCGAACATTCTAGTGCTGAGAACGCAGACCACATCGGGCACATCCAGCCGGGCCCCAGACAAAGGTACCAGTGGCGGCAGAAGCAGGGGAGCAGCAAGTGGTGAGTAAGGGGGTCATGATGAGAGATTCTCAGTCCTGGCCATCTCAGAACCTCTTGGGGGACCATGACCAATGTCTGCTTCTGGGTCCACTGCCAGCCCCTGGTGGGACCGGGTGCCCATGTGTGCTGAAGAGCTCTCCTGGGGATTCTAACATGAAATCAGGTTTGAGGACCACAGGGAACCAGCACTAGGCACTGTG